AAGTAGGTGATAACTATCGAAATGATCTCCATGATCACTGAGTGTGGCATGTAGCTTTGATCAATTTGTTTTCACTATCCCATTCTTCATGGTTGTGCTTTCCTCCTAAATTTGAATTTAAACTGTAGACAATCATTTGGCCACGTTACCTTGGATACCTTGACTGTTCCCATGTCTCGCGGATCCATTGCCATTGCTACAAGTAGCCACGCATATGTTGATGATTGGAGACCTTTACCGATTCCCCAATTTGCCCCTTATAATCCACGTGTTAGGTTGCAATAGGTCTGTACAAAATATATAGCCAACATTACCCCCCGCACTAATATAACCAATGCTTAGTAATATTAGTGGATCAATGCGCTTCTCTCATGTCCTAGGATATGCATGGAATTTATTTATCCTGGAAGTGTAACCGTCTTCAAGCAATGAAACACTGGACTTCATTAAATTCTCCCTTGTGCTTGAACACTACCTCCACTATATGTGTAAACGAATGGATTGATACATCTCTAATGGCTAATCAAACCCCCTTTTTCATTGATCAAGCATACAAAGATGTTTTGGACAATGATGATCAATCTCGAAATAACATTCATGCATTTATTAGCCATATTTATCCTCCTTCATTTATACAAGTTATTGAGGTTTTTGCAAAATGTGAGCCATTAGACCAAAAATTTGCCCAAATGGATCTTGAAAGTTTTTCATTTGCTCCAAAACCTTTTGCATGTGATGACGTTGCATCCTCTTCTACTGGAAATACTAGTTGGAATGCTCGGCCAACACCAACCCAACCTCAAACAAGGGAGCAGATTCATCACAGATTTGTTGAATTTGATGACCGCACTGTAATTTTTCCTTCTTCGTGCAACTCTGTGGTATATCCTTATATCCCATTCGACCGTTTTCGCTGTCTTGAAGACAACTTGCTTTCGGCATGGTATACATCTACCTTGCCGATCAAAATAGTGCGAAAGACCCCTCATCCCATTGAGGCTTTAGGAATGAGCCCCTCACTCTTAAATAAGAAAGCAAAACTTTGTTCTTCTGACTGGCTAGAGTATGTAAATGAGCCTCAGTTTCCACCTTCTTTTGGAGGGGACACCACTGCTCATTCTCTTCCTCCTAATCCTAATTGGATTAAGGAATTAAAACTTACCCTCTTTGAAAGCCAACATTTTGCTCCCTATCAGGCTTTAGTTCCTCCAACTGCCTATTAGCAGTATAAAGCCCAGACCCTGCTTGCTATCTTTTCTCATTTATCCTTTGAAGCCTTTCAAGATAACACTCATCACAATAATTTTTTGTGGGCTTGTGACATTATCTCTCGAAATCACAACCTCAACCCTGTGGCCCAAACAAAACTTCACATTTTCCTAGACCAACTCCCTTTGCTGTTCAATTGGCACAAGAATGCTTCGACCACCAGTAAGTCATTGGAGGAGATGTTTGTTGTTCGCATCCAAACCCAATATGAAGTAGAAAATCTTCTTGAAGAATATAAACATTTCAAGAGACCTAATTCAGAGTATGGGGAAGATGCTGATATGGATGATATGTGTGTGATAGATGAAGTGGAGAAAGCCTTTAAGTAAACAGAGTTTGAGATGAAGGCCCAACAACTTTTCTACAAAATAAGGGCTCACCAATTAGATAAACCAAATTTAGATAGGATAGAGGAAACGTTAGAAAAGGAACATATATTTATTGAATTTTGCTGGACACAGTTTCATGACCTTGTAACCTTGTTCATTCCTTATTTTTAAAAAATTGAGAATGCAACCAAATAGGCTTTCTTAATGTAAATGCTTACATCAATAAAATTGGGTTTCTGTGTTCCGATTACACGGTTCATATTTGTCAATATACATGACTTTTGTCACTCAACTTCTTCATATAATTAATAAATATTAGCTTCGAAGTAACTCATCTATTTCGAAGCCTACATGGTTTTCTTCAAGAAGTGATAATATATCCTTCGAAGGGCTCTGCTTAGTTAGAAGTCCAAGAATATACTTTCGTATTCTAAAATTTAAAAGCATGGGTTTCTTTTTGGCCAATTTGCAAACCTATTAATCTACAAAACACTTGCACTATTCCAGCAAGTAGCAGCCTTACAATAACCCCTTATTTTGAAGCCAAAAACAAACCTCTCAAAAGTACACTTTATTTCCTTAAAAGATCATAGAGTATTTCTTTGAAGGAAATCTTCTTTGGCAGAAGGCCTAGAATTATACTTTCAAGACCGTCGAATTGTTAAACGAGTTCTAATCTTACTTGGGTTAAGACATAGCTTCATTATTGTAGTAGAATACTGGCTTCGAAGCCAACTACTTATTTCAAAGCTGAGCTGAACTTTTTAAAGTATATTTCTCTCCCTTAGAAGGTAACATGATGTTGCTTTAAAGGAAATTTTCTTTGTAGGAAGTCAGAGATGTGTCCTTAGGACTCTGAAAATAAAGGCCTTCATTCTATATGGGTTCAAAATAAACAATCTACTAACTTGGGCCTATTTAACCCATTAGGTCGAGTCATTAATTTTGGACAGGAAGGTTTAAAGCCCCAATTTCTTGCGCTCTTTACCTATTTGCTTGTCTAGTTTTCTCTCACTCCCATTGTTGTTAACTCAAACTCCTTACCCTTCTCATACTCACTTTCCTCACCCTTCTTTCAATCTCTTACTAATGGCTTCTTCTTCCTCGAAAGTACCAGTTGTTGAGCACTTACGTCCCTTAGTGGCTTTGAAGAGACGTATTACTGATGAGATAGCCAAATACCAGGCACCAGAGGATGAAAGCGTGATTAATGGATGGATCTTCGTCCCTCGTCACCACACTCGAGGGGAATATGTTCTTGGCCCCATTTTTAAGGAGGCTCCTGCTACACTTCCTTCCTTATACCCACGTTTGGAGGAACATTACCTCCTCTACGAGGAAAGCTACAACTGGGGAAGTTGGAGGGTTAACCAACCTCACCGCTGCTGGCCCACGTTGAAGACTGAGTGGAAGAGTGGTATGACAGAGTAGTCGGAGCTTAGGAACAAGACTTAAAGGACCTTCACATTCTGGATGCTCTTCGACTTTTTAGGTTCGTAATTCCTGAGGATCCTTTTCTTATCCCAGCTGCGTTTCTAGAACTCTGCCTTCAATTTTTTCCAATTTCGGTGTGGCATGATGGCTCCCACGCTTCTTGACATGTGCCACCTTCTAGGGCTTTCACTTGTTGGTGGCACTTTTGGCCCTCATTATCCAGACTTTAAGGACTTCTTCTCTATTTTGTCTTCTAATTCTTCTTATAGTGACTTCATAACCTCTGAGAATAAGAAGGAAGGTCCTGTGACTGACTGTGAGCTCTTTTCTTTCATTCTCTACTGGCTTTGTAAATTCTTTTTCTGTACTTCTTTTCAGAGAATAGTGCCTGAATTTGTCCCTCTTGCCAAGGCTCTGGCTTCAGGGAAAAGAATAGCCCTAGCTCCTTATGTTCTGGGCCATGTATATAGGGTATGTTCCCAATTTGTGAGAGGCCTCTGGAACCTAATCAAGGGGGTCCAATTTGGATCCTCTAATATTGAACTTTTTGTGGTGGGCCAATCTAGTTGGGTCTCACTCTAAAGTTTGATACTCCAACCTCTGCTTCATGTTTTTTCGTTAATGTATATTTTATGATGAATCAATATATTCTATTTTGTTGATTAAAAAAAATTATGGAATAGATGTGGTGGTGGTTGTAGTTCATAACTAAGTTATGATCAAACTAGTTCTAGCTAAACTATTAACAAATTTGGTGTTAGCTCATAACTAAGATAAGATCAAATTGGTTCCACTTATGAACAAATTTGATGTTAACTCATAATTGTTAGAAATTTGAGGGGAAAAATATTTATTTAAATCATAAAAATCTTTTTTTTTTTTATCAGTAAAAAGAAGAGAGACTTTATTGATATAAAACCAATGTACAAAACGAAATTACATCAATAAAGGCAAAGAAAAGCTAGGTGCAAAGAGCATCATAGCAATACAATTGATCCCAATTAGGTCCACATGCAAGCACACCACCGAGGGTTGGTGAGGGGCCAACCAAAGCAGCCAAACAGACCCCAAAAATATCCAAAAAAAAACAGAGCAAAAGAAAGGAACATGAGCAGCAACAAACTAGATTTTCAAGATCAAATTAACTCATAAAAATCTTAGCAGTTGAGTTTGGTTTCAACTATCCCAATCTCTTTTCCAAAGCCACCAAAAGTTAGTCAAATTCATTTACTTTCATACTGTAAATTTGTCTGTCAATATAGATGTATATAATTTTGTTTATTACTTGACTGTCTGTAAGCATGTATTCTTATCCTCTTCTTTGTTTCTTTTTCTTTTTCTCTTTCCTTTTTGTGTGGGCCTTATGAATTGCAATACTTTTCTGTCTTTTTTTGACATTTTTTTAGTGACTATTACTATGATCATGTGCGTCCTGTTAGAAAAACACATTAGTAGGAGATATTGTCATATTACTTTTGAGAATTTTTATTGTAACTTTTTTACCTTATAATTTTTGAATATTCACAAAACAAAAAAAAAAAAAACTCTGCAAACTCTTGGTCCATTTTTCAAACAAAAAACAAATCATGTGTCTCCCATGTAGTGTAGGTCTCATCCCACATGAGTATTGGATAGAATATTTGATAATTCATTTACAGTCCCAAACATTACTATTAAGGGGAATTTGGTCAAAATCCTCTCATAATAAGCTTTAATGCATTAAAGACAAGTACAAAAAAAAATTTCTTGAAAAGTTCAACATATACTACTATTACCAAAACATTAAACTTTAAAATAATATAACTTTTGATCTAAATGTCGATTTTTAATAAAATTAGTATTTTTAAAATTCTCTCATTAAGATCTATCAAATAAGATTCATGTTGATTGTGAGATTCCTTAGTAGATTGCTCAAGTATTTGGGATTCGTAGCCCAAGGAATCTATTCAGGCCAAGGAGGATCAAGAGAGGGAGCAGCATTAGACAAAAACTCAAATATTAAAGAAATAACAACTTGTCTTGTAATTTCTAATGACTGCTAGAGCGAGATGTACTATGAAAACATTACATTGAAGGACTTTTTTTTTTTTGTCTCTTTTCTCCTCGTAGTAATTGCATACACGTTTATGCAATATGGTATGACTGGCAAGTGGGACTGCCAACTGAGCTTGCCTAGGCATTTGATCTTAGGATATGACCCAAATTAGTATTACTTTATTTGTTTTATATCGGTGTTATTTCGTATGGCCAAACCTTCAAGAATCAAGATTATTTGCTTTTTCAATGATTAAAATAGTTGATAAATCTTTCATTCAACTTTTGTTTATTTTGGAGCTACAGATACAGGTTGAGGTCCAAGGTTGATATTAAGAATATGGCAGAGGCTTTCTCTTGTTGGCAACGGTATGGCACAAACCGAACCGAGAAGTCCTCATCAGCAGAAGAACCAGAGGCTGTTTCTGTTGGCTTGGGAGGTGCTGTTGATCAGTCTGGCATGTTAGCTTCACAAGGAAATAGTCTTCGATGGCAATGGCATAAGGATCCAAGATTGGATTGTCTTAGATTCCGGGGGATTTTTCCATCCAATACAATACGTGAGATTTATTAGCATAAGTTGATTTTGTGATCTGAATGTGTTTAAATTAGCACATAGCATAAGTAGTTACAAGCATATTGTGGATCTTCTTAAGAAACCTGTAGTTGATGAAGCATAAGAAAGTTTTTTTGTCTGTTGCAGCACCTTTGGTTGAGGCTGACAAGGAAACTGATGAAAAAAATTATCTTCTATGGAGATTAGAGAAAAGGGTTGCAGAAGGCTCAACGGAGATCCCAAAAGGTACATCTTCCTCACCCTATTTAGACATTTAAAACACAAAATTCAAAAAGAATCAGAACCAAAGGCCGCGCTATACACAAAGAGGTTATTATATCATTCTTATCTATTTATTATCAAAATCTGTGTGATCTTGTTTCCTCCAAAGTTGTCATGTACTGTTTGCTCGATATTTATGGGGATGTAGTTATTGAGATGAGAACTGTGTAGAAATTCATTTTATGAAACTGAATTTGTCTTTGTACTCGTACAAAATTAGAAGCATGAGTAGAAAGAGGAAGAACTTTTTTTTGATATTTTGTTGACATAGTGTGGAATCTATCCATTTGTGTGCAATAACTTGGTTTTCCATTTTAATTCTTTTATTTTTGTTTATTTGGTGAATGACAAAATTTATTGAAAAAGATGAAAAGAATCAAATAGAGTACAGAATAGAAATCAATGGAGGAGAACCTCTACACCATGCCAGCCAACACAAACAAACTACCATCTCCTAGATAGAGCAGAAACAGAGCATACTACTATCAACAGAAAAACATAACAAACAGCCCAAATTGGATTAATAGTTTTCCTATTTTTTTAATATCTTGATGTACATGTGATTTATCAACAGAAAAAAAAAACTTCATGTCCATGTTCTTAGCCAAAAAAATCTTCATAGGTGGAGGTTGCAAGAGTTAAGAGTTTTGGACAGATTTGTTGATTAGTAGTAACATCAGTTATATTTGTTTTACTTCGAACAGATGCATCAGACTTCAAAGCTTTAATATGGTAGGTTATATGCCCAAGTTATCATAGAGGAAAGGAAAAGATATAAGGGCTATTATTACATTGTGGTCACAATTGAACATGGTCACCAAATTGAACATGGTCACCAAGTGTTTGAATCTATTTGAATATGCTTTCACAATTGAACATGGTCACCAAATTTATCAAAAAAAATTCACAATCTGCTCTCTTTACCTTATTAACTCACAAAACCCTCCACCATGCATATCAGGGCTATTATTACATTGTGCAATTTTATCGGGTAAAAAAAGTGAATCTTCGTTTCTTCAACAATTTAATGTTTGTATTTGAATGTCGTTTAGTTTTATTTTTCAGGAAAAATAAATAACTGACTTTGTAATCACATTGTTTGGTGGAAGTTTGGTAGACGAGACAGATTGTTGGATTGTGGTTTTAAAACTAAATTTTTCGTTGGAGCTTTCATCCTCTATAACGGGCCTATTAACTGCATCAAGTGGCTCAAGTTCAATTTTTTTATCAAGCTCCCTCGATGGCACATGCAAGGTTACTTAATTATGTTAAATGTTTCATAATAATATCTTCCTAGCATGAGTATTTTTGTTTTTCGAAATGACTTATTTTCGTATTGTAGGTATGGGACCTTGTTACTGGAAGACTTTTACAAACTCGAGCTTTTCCACTACCAATTACTACAATAGTTGTTGATCCAACAGAGATGAAGTTATTTTCTGATGGTATAGATTACTAGTGGATATTTCTCTTTTGTATACGGAGGACATCATTTTTGTATGATTATCTGTTTGTATGGAATTATTATTTTGGGTTGGATTATATTTGGTTTGTATAGAATTTGATGTTACAAGACCAAATTTTTGGATGGTTGAAAGTGAAATAGAAATAGACATATGTATTATTTTGTTTATATACAGGGTGCAGGTTACATGAAATAAATACAGGTTGTGCAGAAATTAATAATAATAAAAAAAATAATAACACTAAATAAAGTTTTTGGTGACTAAATGTTTAGTAGCCAAAAAAACAAAATAAAACTTTTTGGCTACTAAAAATTTAGTAGCCAAAAACAAACCAAAGATTTTTTGGCGACTAAAAATTTAGTAGTCAAAAATATATGAGACTTTAGGCGACTAAATAGTTTAGTAGCTAAAAAAAATATTAAAATTAATTTTTTTCGGCGACTAAATATTTAGTAGCTAATAATAAATGATACTTTGGGCGACTAAAAGTTTTAGTCGCTGAAAATGAAAATTAATTTTATTTGAAAACTTTTGGCGACTAAATATTTAGTCGCCAATACCTCGTACTTTTCCCTACTAAAACATTAGTAGCCATTTATAGGAATTTTGGCGACTAAATTTTTTTTAGTCGCCAAAACCTTCCCTGACCGTTTTCCCGTGACAAATCTAGCGACCAAAATATTTAGTCGGGAAAAGGCTTTGGCGACTAAAAACATTACTTTTGGCGACTAAAACTTTAGTCGCCAAAAGTGCATTTTCTTGTAATAAAGATTGGATCGTGCAGATCTGAGCTCATGGACCGACTACCAATTTTATTTTGATAATCTAAGTAGTTGTTTTAAAAATACTTGACCATTCTTAAAAACAATCATATTAATAATAATAACAAAATTTAAACATACTTATTTATTTAAAAAAATAAAATTTTTTAAAGTGTATATGCTAAAATTATATAGCAACGGTTATAGGCTTAATATATATAGATATATATATATTTGAAGATAAACTTTACACAAGTAGCCGTTTTAATGATCAAAGTAGAGCCCATAAACCCATGGGTTTGGCTGATAGATGAGGCCTAGGACTTAGAGTTTGTTCCCTTCAAAATCTTAGGTTCAACTCCCATCACAAACAAAAAAATTTGAAGTCAGAAGGTTTGTTCGAGCTTTAGAGACTATAGTTTGGTACGTGCAAAATTGCCTAACATACTATACATATAAAAAAAAGAAAACAAAAGAGTAGAGCCCGTGATAATCCAAGATTTTGAAAAATACTACCGACTTTAAAAAAATAATACCTAAAGTCATGCCAACAATATGACAAGAGATTAGATTTGAAGTAATTAATTTTAAAGAAAATTGGTGAAAAGTCTATTCTAAAGAAAGTGTAAGGTATTACGTCTCATGAATATATATATATATATATTGGTTGAGAATGTTAGGTTTTTGTAATTGGCAATACCGTTTGACAAAATTTCTTTTAATTGTAATTTTATTCGCTCTCTTATTTCAACAAGGCTGTAAGTATTAAGATACGAATCCAACCCAAATTGTGCCTGTGTAGAACAGTTTGTGCTAACATTCCGTATCTTCAACATTCTTTGCTTGTTACTTCAGTATGTACAAGAAGAAGGTCAAAATGGTTTGATCGCTCGAGGGGTTTTTTGTGCGCTTGAACAATTAAGGGAATCATCCAGTATCTCTGCATGCAAACTAAACTTATGGAAAAAATGATTCACTGCTCGAGCCATGGATGTTGCATTCGAGCAGTTGGCCTATATGTTTGCACCGCTCGAACAGTAAAGTATGTGCTTGAGCAGTCTTCGCGACTCTATTTAGTATAAAGTGCGCCGTTTGCTATTTTTAGGATTGAAACCGTCTAGATTCTCAGAAGGGAGGAAAATAAAAAGTGTTCTATATTGAGGGGTGGTATATATGAGTTTCCTTATGTATAGAAGGTGATCAACTGATCAATGAACTACATATTGATAAATATCAAGGGTTGATTTTGTTTGTTTATTCACAAAAAGAGAAAAGTGAACATCAGTGGATTCTGAAAAATTTGAGCCTGAAGTTTTAGTGGATTTTGGAGTGGCTCATCGTCGTGGATTCAACATCGGCGCTATGAATTCAACGTTGGGCAAAGCAATTTCGAGGTGAAGATGGTGGAACATCAGGTTTGGTTCAATTCGGGCATGGATTCATTAGGTAATTGAAGGTACTCGTATGTAATTCTTTTTGTCTTTAGTGGATTGTTTTGTAACTTTGGCCCGTGATTTTTTATTACAATTGAAGGTACTCCAATTGTAATTTTTTCTACGTTAAATCGTTGTGCCGATTTATTGTTGATTGTTTGATTGGAATTGATATTTATTGTTTAAAATTGATATATAACCACAAATCAATATTTCGAGGGTTTTTAGATTTTTCAGAGAAGTACACTCTTTGTGAAATATTGTGATGAGAATTACATTTTGTTGTTTTGGATGACATAGATTTCGGATTTTATCCTTTAACCTATTTGTTGAAATCTTTTTTATTTGTTTAGTTTTTTTTAACCTATCTATCAAATTTGTATCTATCTGTTGGAATATCTATCTGTTCAAAAAATCATCTGTTGAAATTCACAAGCCTATCTATTTAAATTTTTATTTTATCTATTGAAACAACAATCTTATTTTAATTCTTTCAATCTATTTGTGTGGACTTATCTGTAAATTATTTTAATTATAGAAAGAGTTATCTGTTTAATTATAGAGAGAGAAAAATAGCACAGTGTGAAACTTCTTTCAATTATCTGTTGAACTTATCTTTGTCTCTTTCTTTTTCTCTATTTTGTGAAAAACTCTATATCTCTTTTTTCTATCGATCTTTCCATTTGCTAACATCATCAAACCCTAGCTCATCACTTAATCTCAATCCCAAGCTCTTCAATGGAGTTTTCATGCACAAGCAAAGCTTCATTAACGACAAAGAATGGTGAATAGAAGTTGATTCAAATGGCTCGACACATTGCCAAGACTCTTGGTCACATTCTCCATATTTTTTCCAATTTCGATGGCAGGTTTGGATAGAAGCTGGTTAAGAAGTTGAGTGATGAAGACCCAAGATTGTTGGAATAGAATTTGAAGTGTTTTAATCATTAGATCTCTCCATACTTGTTTGTTGATCATCCAATCTGGTCTGACTAGCTCATGTTTGAAGGAGATCAATTGTAAATGGAGCTCGAATCACACTACAGGAAATTCAATTTTTAGCGGCGTTTTTAAAACGCCGCGAAAAGCCTGAAAAACACCGTAAAACGTAATAGCGACGTTTTAAATTTTCGTCGTTGATACGGCCGCCGCAATAGGTTTGAAACGTTTGAAAAATGTCGCTAAAAATATAAGACAACGTTTTTTAAAACGCCACAAAATGTTGACGTCTGCTTCTCTTACCGTTACAAACTAACGTGTGACGTGAGTATGACGTCATTTAGTGGCGTTTTTTCAAAAACGCCACCTTTTTTTTTTTTTGGCTCCATATTATTATTAATAAATATCAATATTTTGTCCAAAGCATACCATTTCAGAAAATATGCATTATAATGAATCTAAAAAAACAAATCTTCCACTAGACTAAGCCAAATACATTATAATGAAATCCAAAAAAACAAAATTCAAACTCACACTCCAGATACTTCAAATAGCACATGAAATTAGGCAACAATCTACACAAATCATCCAATTTCAAAGCCATATTACTCATCTATGATATATACACACTTATAACTTGGTAATTATATATGCATACCAATAGTTAATAGAACTGTATCTAAACAACCAATACATCAAAGAGTGCATAGAGAAGCAGAAGGCAGATTGTTAAATGTCAGAAAGTCTTGGTAATTGTATTGAAATATCAACTCTAAAATCACAAGTTTTCATTTCAATTTTGACTAAATCTGATCACGTCTTCTTGGGTCAACAGAATTCACAATCGTGAGCTGTGGGAGATTTTTGCAGTTTTCTTCTTGAATTGGACTTTATTGGTACCACAAAATTCTGAGCACTTGAGAGGATGAGATCAATGGCTTCCAACAAGCTGCAAAACAACAATGAAACATAAATAATGCTTAATTTTTATTTGTATAATATATACATTCAAATTGGCTTATTTTTTGTACCATTTCTTCAACTATAGAACACTAAATGGGTTGGCAACAAACTAGGCAGGCAAAACACATTCTGTGATATAAACAAGAATCAGAAACCAACTTAAATAAATAAAAATAAAAATGATCACAGATTGTTGGTTCATGTTGGGCCAACTCCAAGAAATCTTGTTGAGGCAGAGCTCTAACCTCAAGTGACCAACATCATATACTTTGGCACTCATAATATAATCATAGAATGTGCCATTACACAGATTAAACAGAGATATTTAACCAAAATATGAAATCCACAGCAAATTTCGAAAAAGTAGCACTCAAATATATTATTTTAAACATACATTCCACATAAGCAAAATCACCTAAGAAGAGGAATGCCTTAATCAAGTTAAATTGAAATTCTGGGCAATGAAAACTATGATAACTTGCTTTAACTATTTATTTACATTTGCCTTCCCATATAAATATAAGCTTTTGATTATCATTATTTTTTAGTACATTTCAAGAAAGAGATTCCATTCATTCACAAAAATATATATATATATGCATACAATTATACACAAGACACAGAGAGAAACATTGAAATTGATTATTCTCTTTGCAAATATACTAAAATTATTGCACTTGCTTGTCCAATTGTGATGACAGATTTTAAAAACCAAAAGTATTCTTCACTTTCAACCCATGCCTCTCCATATAAATTATTGCACTTGCTTGTCCTATTGTAGTTTGTTGACAATTAATGACCTGAAACCTAATCAGTGATCACCATTGTGAATGGTCAGGATTGCACAAGGTTAATCTAAACTCAAGAACATCCCATTTGAAAGTAAGGGAGCCTATTACCCCCAACAAACTTAAAAGTCATTTCAAAATAGGAAAAATATTAAAGAGAAGATACAAGATAAGATAAGATTAGGAACATGAGGCTGAAAATTTAGAGCTAGAATAATCAATAGAAGAAAAGATTATGAACAATTCTAACCTTGAATTCAGTAGACTCCAACGTCCTTCTTTCATTGAATTTGTCATATCTACTTCTTTTTCTTCTTCTTCTTCTTTCCTTTCTTTGATATGTGAACCTACATTTGATAAGAACAAATAACATGAATAAAATGTCATATTGAAAATTTCATAATTAACTATATACTCACCTCCTTAGACGAACGATGACAATTAAACGATGAAGTGTATGCATGAGATTGTTGTTGTGAATGCACATGTGTAGAAGCTGGTGCAACAGGCCCACCCATGGCCTGTTGAGACTGTAATTGCTCTATTCATGCTTGTTGAGCTTGGATTGTGCTTTGCATATCCATTGGTACTTTCTATTGATTAAGCATAGCATCCATCATCTCCTTCATTTGCATCTCCATTTGTGCTTTATATTGGTTAAGTTGCTCTTGGAATTGCGTTTGGATGAGACGAGTTTGTTCTTGTGATTGCCTATATCCACCTCCAAAGACATCTGTCGGAGAAGGACGCAATCCATATGTTCGAACTCGACCAGGCCTCTCAGGCCCTAGAACTTGTGTGATAATCTCTTCATCTGTAGCATTGGATTGCGCCCCAAGCTCCTTCATTTGTGTCTGCAATTATTAATTAGTTAATTAACCACCAATAAAACTCAGCCTACAAGCAAGACATAATAACGACCACTTAACTGCCATGACAACATCTAAGACTAAAACGGAGTAGCATAGAAATGAAAACCATAAAATCATTGCAAAAATACAAGCAGCAGCAGCCACACATCTTTCCAGTAATATGCAGCCACACATCTTTCCAGTAATAGGCAGCTACACATCAAGAGTACATGGCAAAAACTAGCATTAACAGCCACACGTCTTTTTAGTAATATGCAGCCATTTAAAAAAACAATCTATCATGATAAACAATCTATCACATGACTAAGCAATCTCACTTCCAGGTACACAACCAAGACCAGCAGGGCAAGTTCACCCAGCAGCAGACACGGCAGCATCAGTAAAATCTCAACCCATGTTCTGCTTCTCCTCTGTCACAGTAGGGAGTTTGGGGTTTTTATGAATTTTTATCTCAGTAGCATACACACAACAGCATACACACAGCAATGATTATAACATTAACATTAATTAATTAAGCTAAACAAATAGTAGCAAAAGCTCATAGATGGTCCTTGGTGATTTCATCACTAAATTTTTATTTCTAAAACTTTAAAAACTACACAAAGGCATTATAAAAAATAATAATAATCCGTTCCTCTTATCTCATCATATATCCTATCCAAATCAAACATTTACATTGACAATGAAATGTAATTTTACATTTAAAAAATAAATAAAGAAACAAATATGAGACAAGTATCTAATACATTCCATACATGCAAATTATATAATAATGGTGCTACATACCATGACCGCAGCAACTTTATCAATACTTGGTTTGTTATCCTTCGAGTACCCAGCCATCCACACCTCTAAGCGAGTTGCAGGAACTCCATTCTTCTTATTAGTTTCCTACAATTACACTTAAAATTAAGTAACAAAATCAAAATATACAATTTCAATTTGAAATATAAAGAAACTATATACCTCTACTCGAACAACTGAGAATGGTTTTCTGCCGGTTATGTGATTTAATGTCTTCTTCTTCCGAATTTCTTTGTTTTTTGTACTGTTCTTCTATTACATATGAACACAAACACAAGATAATTTATTAATTAACAAACTCATCTTATGAGATTACGATAGAGATCAATAAACAATTTAAATGATACCTGTGCCTTCCGAGTGCCCCAATAATAGACTAAGCTTCGCCATTGATGCTCATGTACTCTTTTGGGTCGATGAGTTAACCTATCAGCATCGTTGTCGAATGGCGTATACCCCATTTGTTTAACTCTAGCCTTCCACTCTCTCCATTTTTTTTCCAACAGATGCCAAAATAAATTTCTTCATTGACTCGTCGGCATTTGTATTGACCTGCAAATAATTGGCAACTTTGTGACTATTGCATACACACAGCAGCAAGCCCACAGCAGTAGCTAACAGACCAGTATTTTTTTAAGTCACTTTACAACAACATACACACAGCAGCAACCTGGCCAGCAAAATAAAGCTTCTCAATCTTGTGGGATGCAAGCAACCAAGGAAAATAAGGCTCCATATGTGCCTATATATGCATATGAATCTATATATATATAGACCTAGGCATCTCATATATGTGCCTATATATGCATATTAATCTATATACACTTGTGTGACTGTATATGTGCCCAAATATATGCCTAGACATGTATTCACTGATCCACATATAATACGAGCAATGAGACTAAATTTCTTTCATCATTTAGCCAAACCCTGTAATAGGATCAACATGCTTAGGTATGCATTTATAAAGAATGGTTCAATAAAAAATAAACAATTCTTTTATCCTTTTTGTAACCATCTACTACATCACCAAACAAAGCTTTTATCCCTCTGAATATATCTACCATGTTTAGGGCTCACAAAATAGTTAATCATGCATTTGAAAATTTCAGTCATTCAACAAGTGGAAAACTTAAAGTGAAACCATGTCCTACAATGATCCTATTTTATCTACTGCAACAAACCAATTTGTCTATTTCAATTCTTATGCCTAAGTTTCTAAGGTAAAAGATAAATGCACACTCTAACTAGAATTTAAGAAGCAAAAGATGATGAGAGCTACAGATTTCCTATATATTTGCATGACAAAAGATAATGTGAATTTTACAGAGATTATGTGATTGTATGATGCAGACCCTGTTTTCATGCGACACTTTGGTAAAGTTATGGAAATTGTGTTTGACATGTCTAGCACCCAACAAGTAAATCTGATAAATTTAGCTTACTAGCTAATGTATGTAAATCCCATGTTATGTTACTTATATGAATGGGTGCTTCAAATCAAGCGAAAAATCTGTTTCACTCAATGTTGTAGAGAAAAACACTATTCAACCCTAGATATTAAAAGAACAACATTAAGAAATATTATCATATCATATAGTAAAGTCCTTGTGTTGTTGGATTTGTGAACTAGATAAATCCAATGCTTAGACACTATTGAGAAGGGATATGATGGCATCGAATTGCATGTAAGCTTTTCACATCAAACCAACTCAACTTCATCCAAATCAAGTCCTAAAAAATTAGACACTTCGCCAAATACCATTGTGGAGAGACTTGGGTTGTTTTCCCTCGCATAGAACCTCAACAAAATTCATCATTAATTCATTAAAAGTGATTTCAATATCATTAAAAGTGATTTCAACAAAAAAACCCAACTCATTCTCATCCCAAATGGTGAATATATTTATTAGTTCTGGCACCAATGATCAGTTCTAAAAAAACCTGCCCATGAACTCTTAACCACAGATCTTGCTTTAAAAAACAAATTTCCACATATTTTAAAGAAGACGTGTGATTTTAAAGCAGTGATCTTCACTGCAACGGCTTTAAAATAATGTTCGCAATTTGATCTCTGCAAGGCCAAGCAGGTAAGCTTTCCAAAAAATCAAAGCTTAAAATTGATCAACTATAAAATATGAAACAAATAAAATAAATAATAACAAATTAAGATTAAAATTGATATGTAAAATGAAATAATTCTTTTACCTTTACTTCTCTCCAAATTCTCTCTTTGTTTTCCTTCGGTACATGGCTCCAAGTTCTATAAGTGAGGGGCATAAGGTTCCCATCTCGAGCTAAAACACCCAAACGAGAAGCTAAGGGTGTATACCCGTCAACACTTGGTTCAACTCATTAGGCACAATATGTAAAATGCCACCACTTGGGTTCCAATCACTACCACGCATGAGTGTTGGGCCTCTCGAACTATGCTCCCAATATGGAAGCTCAAAGAAAATACTTCTCTTCCTCTAATTATGATCCTCCTCGTTGTCCTCTTTTTCCATTCCTTTCCTAGTTCTTTTTTGTCTGTTAGTTGGTTGATGCTTAGGCCCTAGCTGTCGTAACACATTAGCCCCCGATAACCGAGTTGGACATGGTTCAAATTCAAAAGTTCCATCAAAAGACGCACCATCTTTTCGAAATTTGTGACTCGCATTCAACCAGCGGCGATGCCCCATGTAACAAATTTTCCTTCCATTCCTCAAATACCGATGTCGAGTACGTATGTTACAACAAGGACAAGGTAAAGCACCTTTCGTGCTCCGTCTAGACAAATTTGCATATGCAGGAAAATCATTTATTGTCCACAATAAGACTGCGTGCAATTGGAACATTTGATTGGTTTCTGTATCGTACGTCTGAACACCATTTTTCCACAATTCATTCAGTTCATCCACTAACAAGCGCAAGTAGACATCAATGTTATTGCCAGGTGATGAAGGACCATCAATGAGCAATATCATCATCATATGAGGTTGTTTCGTGCACAACCACAGTGGCAAATTAGAAGGCATCACAATAACTGGCCAACTGCTGTGAGCAACATTCATTACCTTGAATGGATTAAATCCATCCGCTGCTAAACCTAGTCTAACGTTGCGAGGCTCACTCACAAACTTGAGATACAAAGTATTAAAATTTTTCCAAACAGGAGAGTCAGCAGGATGTCTCATTTTGCCGTCATCAATTTGGCCCTCTGCATGCCATCTCATTAATAAAGCAGTTTTGGATGACATGAACAATCTTTGAAGCCTTGGAATCAAAGGAAAGTATCTCACAATCTTCTGGGGAATTCGTTGTTGCTTCTTTTTATAATCATTCTTCTCACCCTCAAACTGTTTGTATCTAGGCGCCTGACACACTATGCAATCATCCCTACTAGCTGTCTCCTTCCAATACAGTGAGCAATCTCTTGGGCATGCATGTACCTTGTGATAATCGAGGCCCAATTCCCTAAGGAGTGCCCTCGTTGCATAGAGTGACTTTGGCAAAGTTTCACCTTTTGGGAATGCATCCTTCAAAAGTTTAAGCAACATCGTGAAAGACTTGTCGCTCTATCTACTAAGGCACTTGATATGCAATAATCGAACAACAAATGAGAGTGTTGAAAACTTGTGACACTCTGGATACAACTCTCTTCCGGCCTCCTTCAATAAACTGAAAAATCTTTCAGTTTTCTTATCCAGGCCTAGTTCGATATTAGAACTTTCTGTCTCATTACTAGCAAGATGAACAAAGCTTGGTGGAGGAAGTCCGAACCCCTCATATATCATTTCATTGACTTAATCGCGATCATTCGAATCACTGACATTCTCATTCAATGGCACAGACGCCGGTAAATCTTCCCCGTGAAAATTCCATTAGGTGTAGCTTGAAAGAAACCCATTGACCATTAAATGTTCCCCTAAAAGGTCTTTCTTTACTAGTTTGACATTCCGACACCGTTTACATGGACATGTGACTTCAATTGATAGAGGATTATTTTGGCATGCAAGTTTAACAAATTCCTTAACCCCTTCTATATATTCTGGATGACACCTATGCTGATTTATCCAACTTTTATCCATCTGACTTTGTCTCACACTACAAATGTTACTGCCAAATCGACAAGGTTCAAAATTATCATTTCATTTTAATTATTCTTAACCTCAATTAAGTACCTTATAATGCATACGACATGACACCATTCACCTCTAACTCTTTTCTAATAGGTTGGTTCATCTTACTTTCCCATTCAGGAATACACAGTCTATATTGTAAAAAGTAGCTCATACTGCTTTATCCATCTCTAACGAAATTTCGGTAGCATCTCCCCATGGTTCTCCAAGTACACAACATAGACTGGGTGTACTGCTACACCTTGTCTAGTATGCACTCAGAGAACATGAGGAGCTACTACACGAAATCTCTACAAGATGGACTACATTTAAGCGGTAGAACTACTAATTACAACATAGACTTGTGCTCCTGAACTGTCCCAATTGGACAATCCAAGAAGAGCTTCATCAAAGATGACTAGGTATCTCTAATGAAGATTCTTGGACGGGTCTAAGGCTATTTATGTATGCATGGATAATTGCTGGCTAAATTAATAACTGTCATGATTATTGCATCCCAGTGGTGCAACCTGAATCAAAACTATCAAGCATACTAGAAGCATTTCTAGCATGAAGCATATTAATGAAGAAACTAAAAGTTTCTACAATGCTCTTGATAGATTATGATATAGAGATTCATAAAAAATGACTAGGTATCTCTAATGAAGATTCTACAAGAACAACTAGATTATCCTAATTGATCACAATCACAAAGTAAAAAATTCCATGATTGTAGTTGATAGCACATTGGCCCTGTTTGGTACAGCTTAATTTCAGCTTATTTCAGCTTTCAGCTTAATTTAAGCTATTTTGATGTGTTTGGTTTAGCTTATGGCTTATAGCTTATAGCTTTGTGGAAGTCAGAAAACAGCTTATTCTTTGAGTGGGGCAGGAGATGCTTTAAGAATAAGCTGGAAATCAGCTTAAGCTGAAAGTTATAAGCTATAAGCTGTTTAGGCATAAGCTATAAGCACTTTCCCACAGCTCTACCAAACAGGGCCATTATAATGGCAAGTACTACATATTAGGATTCTGAGTTCAAACATGAAATGCTTCCACGGTTTTCATCTATCTGAGTTATGCAGTTTTAGAATTGCATTGAGTTATCTAAATAGGTCTCACTACTCATAAGGAGGAAGTATGGGTGCTAAAGATCAATAATTAAGGAAAAAGGAGAAAATTCAATTCTTTTGCCTTTTCTCTAATATATGGTACTATTGCTTCTTATCTAAAATCTTTCTCCCAAGGGTCATTATATGTATCAAAAACCAGAACTATTCCTTATGAACTTTCACACTCATGGTGCCTACAAAATTCAACAGAACCTCTAGCAAGGGTCGGCTCTCTCCAATTCTTTAAGTTTATTCTCCAACTCTTTAAGTTTATTATGATCATGGAAAAATACTCTTCATACTGTATAAAGATCTCTTAAAGTCCCCAACACTATTTGGTGGGGTGGCATGCCAAATATGATAATGTAAGGAATGGGTGTTTTCATAGGAGTCTCTCCTTTCCTCTCCCCTGCTGCCTGCCAATACCTGCACTTAGCAAAAATGCCTATTTTTGAGTGACTTATGTAGCTCCTTTTTTTAAAGTACTTTCCTAGTTTTTATTAGTTAATATCAATGCAATGATTGAATTTGAAAGCAAGAAAAGTGTTTTGGAAATGATAACAAACATAACTGTGCCTAGTGTCATGTAAGAAAGTATTGTCATTGAGATGCTAGCAGTTACATGTTTCAATGAAGATCCAACAGTTTAACTAGCACTTTTAAAGCACTTACCTAGGTTTTAGGAGTTTACAACAGCAATACCATTTGAATTTGAAAGCAAGAAAAGTGTTTTGGAAATGCTAACATTAGTGTTACTTGTGTTATATAAGAAAGTAAAGCATTGTAAGGGCCTAACAATGAACATGCCCCTCTGTCTCACCAATTATAATCATACAATTTGATTTTTTTTTTAAATTAATTTAAAGGAAAAATTATAAATGTGGTTTGTGTAACTTGTCTATCGTGTCAATTTGGGTTCTAATTCTATTCAATTTTTCCTTTACTTTTTTACGTTATGTTAATTTAGTCTAATTAATAATATTTGTTCAGTAATTGAACAGAAATTAAGGGTAAAATAGTTCACTCAAAAGGAAATGGACAATTTAAGTAGAGTGAATGGATTACTTTGCCGCTTCATTTCATTGCAATTTCTAAACATGCATTATGGATTAAACTAAATTGACATAATGTGAAAAATTCAACTTAGAGTTGATTCAATTAAAACTAAAAAAAAACAAAAGCCGATCTACAAAAACTACATGTATAATTTTCCCTAAGCTAAAAATCAAATCATGTAACTCAAAAGATATGAAATTTTAGTACTTCAATGTACTTCTACCAGCCACTTCTAAAGCATCCAAATAAAATATATAGTAGCAATATATATATATATATATATATCAATTGATCAGAAATAGCAGAAACCACTCATGATCTGGTTGTTTTGACCTTATGCAGAGAAAATTGGATAAAAATATTTAACATTAAACTATTTTGAGATGGTAGGTATACACCTTTATAGATAGTAAAAGAAAACAAATTTTATAACTAAAGATTTAAGTTGAGGGTGTTGAGTACAGGGTTCACAATTCAGGGCCGGATCAGATCCAAACTCCTCATGCCGTCATCGTAGTCTAAACAATACCAGATATATCTCAATTCTCTTAATGAGGCACAAATATGCTACATCAAGACAATGAAAATGGGAAATAGAGTCAACATTTGAAGGAGAACTCGAGCATAAAGGTTAATCACTAATCTGAGGCACAACGAATGGCCATAGACTAAACAGGGGACCCATACAAAGTAAGAGAAACAAGAAGTTTAACAAAATTATCAAGTTTAAATGCATGGAGCCATCATCATAAAATCATTGAACAGAGATATGTGTTATAAAACGAATCAAAGATATGAGTATGAATGTATACACTTTTCAACCAAAAAAAAAAAAACAAAACAAAAATAAAAAGAAACAGCTAAACAAATTGAAACTCACAAAATCGAGAACCAAGCTTCAAAATCTGCAATCCAAGTGGTGGCCTTCAAATCATCACCAGATCTGAAATCGAGTGAGAGAGAGAGTTTTCGAAATCGAGACAGAGAGCGTGTTTGAAATCGAGCGAGAGAGTAGACTGAGAACAAATCTGAAGGAGTAGACTGAGAACTTTAATCGCTCATATTCAAATCTCCAAATCGCAAGTCTGGAGCGAGAAATAGAGAGAAATCGCAAATCAATTTTGCTCAGAATGAATTCGAGCTCGAGAGAGAGAGAGAGAGAGAGAGAGAGAGAAATCGCAGCTTTAGGGCTTTAGGATGTGGGTAACGACGTTAGGCAATTAACATGCAGAGATTATGTTTAAAAGAAATCTAATACAGCGTTTTAAAAACGTTGTTTTAATTGAAAAATAGCGGCGTTTTTATAAACGTCGTACACAAAACGTTGCTATATTCCCTTTTTCTTGTAGTGACAGATGGTTTCCAAAGAGACGAAGGTCCTGAGATCGGCGATATATGAATCTGAGTCAAAGTTTGATTGGAGGAAAAATGATTGCTTGAACCATAACTAGATGGGGTCGATTGGATCTCTCAAGAGGTCTGCATGGTGGACCAAGTTGGCAGAGGCAATGAAGATTGTAGATCCACCATTGTTGTTATTGGTTTCGGTTTGATGATGAACCCTAGATTGATGATGAGAGAGAGTAGTGTCTCTGATTAAACTTTTGTTGAGGCAGAGAATGACTCGTTGCTAGAGAGAGAAAAAGCTAGAGAGAGAAAAAGGGATTGATTTGAACAAACGTGCATGGATCCAAATATATGGATAGTTTAATTATTTCCTAGAAGCATAGCTTTGTAGATATAGTAATTTAGCGCGATTCAAAATTAGATTTGCAAATCAAATTTTTTTTTTAATTTTAAGTTAATTAATAATTCATATAATACATTTAAGGAGGATATTTCAAACCTCTTAAATTTTTTCCAAACGAATGAGAGGGTCCACAAGGATTGGAAGGCTGCTGACATATTTAAAGATTTCTGTTTTTTCCTCTTTGTCTCGTGGTAATACCTAGTAGTGGCAAAGAGAGATTCGGATGACACCGACGGATTGCTAACTCAGCATAAACACACGTATTCATCCGAATGGATAAGCCTCGGAACCTTCTTAACCGAACCCCACAAGAATTAACTTAACTGTGGTTAAACTAACTTCCCACCTCTTTCTCTCTTCTCTCCAACTTCCTACATATACACACAGCTCAGCTCTGCTCATCTACACCACATCACTCAACTCTCTCACCATATCCATTCCATCACATTCACAACCAAATCCAACAATCATGGTTTCAGCATGCATTCCTCTCTCAACTCCTTTCCTCTGCCCCAAATCCACCGCCACCGCTTCCGCTTTTCCTCCTCCGCCGCCGATGTGCGTTCGATTCCGACCATCACCTCGCGTCTCCGCCGCTTCCACCACCGCCGAAAGGCCGACGAGTAGACCCCACGCCTCGCAATACCGCATTGCCACAGCAGCAGCATCGCTATACCAAGTCCTGGGGATTCAGATCGACGCGTCTTCTCACGAGATCAAGACTGCGTACCGTAGATTGGCTAGAGTCTTGCATCCGGACGTCGCATCCAACGGTCAAAAAGACACGTCCGCAGAAGAGTTCATGAGGATCCACACAGCCTATTCCACCTTGTCTGATCCCCTAAAACGCGCCGATTACGATCGGAGTCTATTCCGGTGGAGAAGGTCGGTGAGTTCGCCGTTGTCGGCTTCGGGCTTTTCGGGCTACAAGCGACGGACGTGGGAGACGGACCAATGCTGGTAGTGAATAGAGCTTCGAAAGAGGCAAAAGTGACTATATATTAACTACCATTAATATATAACATTTTGTATGTATATTCAGCAAAGGTTCCAATTCGAAGCATATATGTATGCAAATTATTATGTAAAGGTGTTATCGGACGCTGTTTTTTGAAGTCTGAAACATCCCCCAAATATGGAAATTGTTGTTATTATTCAGCTGGTTTCATTTCATAACTTAAGATTCATTTTTCAAGATGCATTAAATTTTTTTATTTTTTTTACTTTTACCAAATTTTTTAATATTTTAAGTAATTTTTTAAAAATTTTGGCACATTTAATATAAATATACTTAAAAAGTATAATACTTGTAAAAAAAATTTAAAAAAATTTATTAAATATCAAAATTTTTAAAAATACTAAAATTTAATATATTTTTCATATTTTTATATATTTATTAATTTTTTAAAATATTTTTTTATAAATATTTTATTTTTTAAATATATTTAAGTAAGGTGTATTTAAAAAAATATAAACTTTCTTAAAATTTTAAAATTATTCACTAAAAATAAAAAAACATCAAAAATTTAATTTTAAAAAATTAAATTCAAAAAATTGAAACTATAAATACAGTGATTATTAATATTTTTTTTTAAAACTAGAACTCACTTGAGTTACAAGTTCTCCTTCATTTACAATCGATGATTCATTATTTTGTTTGGTTTTAATTTTTTAAATTTAATTTTCTTAAAATTGATTTTTTTTTTGTTTTTTATTTATATTTTAAATAATTTTTTTTACTTTTTAGATACACTTAATATAAATATAATTAAAAAATATAATATTTGTAAATCTAAAAAAAATGTAGTACATTTCATATTCTTATGTATTTAATAATTTTTTTATAAATGTTTTATTTTTTAGATATATCTAATCTAAGTACATCTAAAATGTAGAGCAATTACTTAAAATATTAAAAAAAATTATTAAAAACAAAAAAAAAATTAAATTAAATTCAAAAAATTAAACCAAACAAAGTCATTAATATTATTTATGTGTTTATTATTATTGTTTGAGCATTGAATGAATGGAAGTGCATGAATTGTTTTTTGTTAATAAGGGGTCGCCTTGTTAACATTTGGACACATTTTAACAAATCTACCTCTACTTGTATGGATTAGGGCACATGCTAACAAATCTACCTCTACTCGTATGGAGAATAAGGATATAAATAATTAAATATTTTTTAAGAAGTTAATAAATTTGATATTTACTTTTACCTAGACAACAATTAAAATTACGGTGGTACTACATACACCAATTAGTGTACATATTAATCTACCAACTAGTGCTATAATATTATTATTGATCACATTTATTATACAAGTTATAAATACCCAAAATATATAAATGATGTTATATCATTTGTTAGTACACTAGTATATACATTAATTGATACATATAGCATTATTCCTAAAATTATCATGTGATATAGTAAATGGTCATTCAATTGTCCTCAGTTTATCTTCTCCTTTATTTTTATTTTTTATTTTATATAATGTAGTTTTTATTATTTTTAAGTTAATCCAAATTAAAAAGTACTTTAGTTGGAAATTATTTTTATTTGGTTGAAGTTTCAAAATTTATTTTGAAAAACTATAAATTAATTTAATAAAAATAAATACATAAAAAAAAGAGATGTTTTTAGATTTTTAATAGTTATTTCTATACCAAAAAAAAAAAAGTAGAAAAAGAAATAAAAAGTCAAAATGAAAGGAAAAACAAGAAGGGTGTTTTGGTTTTATTATAAAAAGGAAAATGCATCAGACCCCACTGGGGGTCACCCTCAGTGGGGTCTGATTGGTCAAAAAAAAAAAAATTTTTTTCCTGCCATTTGCAGCCCTCCACGTAGACTGCTGGTGCTGGGGTCCCAACACCGTTGTCATAAAAATAACTATTTAATTTAGACCGTACCTATTTAATATTTCCTTAAAAAGTCAATATTTTACAAAAAAAATATTATCTACCATTACTATTACAATAATTGTTATCTATAATTAGTTATTATTTACATATAAATAGATTTAGCTATTCTTACCTTTAGATTATTTAAATATATAATAACATATTTATCCTATTTTATATGTATATATTTATATTATATAACGTATAAATAATATATTTATTCTATTATTTAAATAATTGTTAAACGAGCCACCAAACAAGTCAAATAACGAGCCGAGTATTAGTATGTTTAAATTTATTTATTAAGATTTTAACGAGTTCAAACTCGAGCTCAAACGCAATAAAATATAATGAACCGAGTTCGTATGAACCCTTACTAAGCTCAGCTTGAACTTGTCCACAAACGACTTTGTTTATTTATAACCCTAGGCATATGTTAACAAAAGCCTTTAATAAGTAGGGAACTTCAATATGCCCCTTAAGTTATCACATTTGTGATTTTTTATTATAACTTATTATTGGAGGCATTAATTATGACTTGGTTATATAAGTTGTGATGTTAGTTATCACATTATTTTGGTTGTAATCAAAACCTCTTTGGTTATTGCTATAACTCGTTTGGGAACATCACTATTTAACCTAAAAGCCAACAAATTACACCCAAAAAAAAAAAAAAAAAAAAAACTTTCGATTCCCAAAAAAAAAAAAAAAAAAAAAAGTGGGCCCAATGGCCTAGTAAGGAGGGAGTTAAGGAGAGAGATGAAGAAGAGGATCTTAATTCTTTTTTGAAATATGTGTTGTAAAATTTTCCATATACAATAACATACAACAAAACCTACCATTTTTTGTTCTCAAGAAATGACAAAACCACTATAATGGCACAATGAATCCTCCATTCTCATCAGTATAACCTTTTCACTTTCACCGCATAAATTATTTGCTTTCATATTATTAATAATTATACCACAAAAATGTTAATATAACCAAGCTTTAACAAACTAATTAATCTTACATGCATAAAAAAAAATTAAATTTATAGATAATAAAAAGTAATTTGAACTGAGAGGGTAATTTATGTGATTAAATTGGGCCATGTTAGGCCCATTGGGCCGAGCTTCAAGTTTTTGTGGCCAGAGTTTGGATAGCTTGGTCCTAGGTCGTGCTAGGTGTCAAGCTAGCTAGTAGTAGGTTGCTTGGGCCTTGACCTAGCTATCCAACGCTAAACTCCGTAAGAGGACCGAGGTGTTAGTAGGGAAACAGGCTGAGCTGAAGGTAGCTCTGCAGGGCGCTATCTTGCATAGAGGTTTACTTCGGTGCTGCCTTCAACGTTGTGGAAGTGTTGGTTCGTTAAGTGATACCAGCCGAGGTAAAAGGGTTAAACCCATCTCGTTTGTTTGGCAGTGAGAATGGGGACTTAAGGATAAGCATTATCCTAAGTGTGGGATTCCTAAGAGGACTCTGTTATGGAGTGTTGAAGTCCTTCTAGGATTGAGCCATACAGAATCTATAAAAGCTCATGACTAGACCTATGCGGAGGTAACACAATTCTTACTCTAAAATACACAGAGCTTATTGTCTATTGTCTAGTGGCTAACTTAGGCATCGAAGGGGTTTCTGGCACACACCTACCGGTTAGTTCACGTTTGTGTTTTCAGATAGCAGAGCGACGACGTTTAGAGGAGTGCAAACTTGATCAACAGGATCATACGAAAACATTATTCTGTACTCGTATAATTGGCGCCATCTGTGGGAAGTCACACAAAGAACAAACCTTTTGATTGAATTTCCTCTTTAGTTGAAATATATGGCACACAATGAAGACTTACCACATTCTGCTATTGATGGGCAAACCCCGGAAGGAGGTAGGAGGCGCAAAGGTTTACCTTTTATCCCGCCTATGGCAGAATTAGATCCCCAGCTACAGGACCCACGGAGAGACACATAAGAAAGACGGGGCTCAAGTCCTCATTGCTCTCAGAGCCCTAACAGACAGAGGCGGAGGATAGATCCTCAGGTTCTAGAAGAACGCGTAAGGGAGCAAGACGAATTGATACGAAGGATGGCAACAGACATGGAGACGATAAAGCCCCAAATAAAAGGCAAAGGGATGGCAACAGAAGAGGGGCGCAAAGGCAACACACACTCTTACCACTTAGAAGATCGTGACAGGCAAGTCATACCGTCACAAGTTGAAAGTAGGAGCCTCAGAACAGGTGACACACAATCAAGGACTTTCAGGACTCGTTTCTCTAAGTTTGAGAGAATGAGGACTGAAGGTCTTGTACTGAAGGAAGCAGTTATCGGCCCTCGCATTTGCACCAAACGACATCTAGACACACAAAGTTGCCTAGGTCGACAGACTTGCGAACAAAACTAGAGGAAAAGGCTCGATAGAGAGAGGACACCCAGGCTCGCGACCCTCGTAGGGTCTCAGCTCTATAACGGTTGGCTCCTAGGACACATGAGAGTGTCAAGGTCGAGATGCCAGTATCACGCCTTGCTTACGAATTGGCAGACAAAGTGTTAGCAAAGTTGGAGAGCTCACCGTTCGTTCCAGCAATTGAGAACGCATCATTATCCCTAGGCTTTCATCAGCCTAAATTCACAACTTATGAAGGGAAATCGGACCCTTATATGCACTTGAGCCACTTTCGCCAGGTTATGGCCGTATATCGACGAAACGAGGCACTAATGTGTATCCTGTTTCCTTCTAGCCTAGGTGACCTGGGTTTAGCATGGTTTGAGAGGTTGCCAAAAGGCAACATAGCTTCATGGGAGTAACTTGCGAAGGCATTTGTGACCAGATTCAGAATAAACACCAAGACGCTAGTGGAGATTGACCAGCTACTCTCTGTAGACATGAGCGAGAAGGAAACATTGAAATCTTATAACAACTGGTATTGGGAGAATTTTAATCAGATTGGAGACTGCCCCACAAATCTCGCTATTGCACAGTATAAACGGGGTTTGTCGGCAGGCAAAAAGTTGAGGGATTCAATGACGATAACGCGACCCCTCACAATGGAGGCCTTAATAGAAAGAGTGCATCAGCACATCTGGGTAGAAGAAGATGGCGCTCGAGCCAAAGCAAAATCTGGCACAATAACGATGTCAGAAAAAAAAACCTACTGCAAAAGTCAACACGGTTGGCAGGGAAGAACGATTGAATAAAAATGATAGGGGCATGCGAGAGGACTCCCAAGCAAGGAAGTTGAGAGTCAGAACTGCCATCACCACGGTATTCAATAAACCTATCTACCAAATTCTTAACGAGATA